TGAGGATTCCGTTCTTAAATCCATAAATGTAAAATCTGGATAATCTGAAATATCTGTAAAATGCTCTGTATAACTGTGAGAAGACATTTTTTAGTAGTGGTAAGTGCTCATAGCTGACCTTGTCGTATGGCCTGAGTCCTGGTGTCCAGGGTGAACCTTAGCTGAGGTGACAGTAGCATCTGGTGTGCTCTGCCCTGGCTCTCTTATGAGGAGTAGGAAGATCATGGACGACACTCTTATGGTGTAAAACATATCTTATTCAAAATATATTGAACTAGGATTGGTAAACAAGCCGTAATGGCTTATTTGAATACCTCTCCATTTCATTGGCACATGAATAAAACAAATATTAAATAATATGCAGCATGGTTGGAAAGCAAGCAACCTGCGTATTAAACATTATTAATCATTTGTCAAACCTATGCGATTTTATTATAAAAGTATGGACAGATTGTAGTATGAAAGAATTTACAAGTACATTTTGTTTGGATTACCATTTAGGACAGAATTTAAGTTATATCCATGTTCGTAAAATACATGCGATGTCTGATGTTAGAATAATTAGGACAAGTTAAGAAGTAATGTAAAAGTATCCTCATAGGGGTGACCACAGGAACAGAATGGATCATTTGAAATGTGCCGTTCGAACATGTGCGCTTTCAAATTACTGCACCCAAGTCTGAGGCGTGAGTGGATAATTTGGCAGAAACGTGTACCAAAGTTTTTATCGAATATATTAAAATTGGGTGGTTTTGATGATTGTAATGCATTTTTGAATTGGCCTATGGTTTCAATATCGTACATATTCTCAGGCAAATCATTCCATTGTCGTATTGTATCAGGTAAAAACGAGTTGCTATACAAATCACTACGACATCTTATAGTTTGAATGTTATTACTGTTTCTTAATCTATGGTCACTTAACTGTGATACTTTTTCAGGCAGTAGATCAGTTAAATAAACTGGTGTCATATGATGAACCATTTTGTAAAATAATGATAACTTGCTAATTTGTCTACGGTCAACTAGGGGCATAGAGTTAGTTTCCTTATATATTAAATCATGACTTGTTCCTCTAACTGCCCTGGCAAATCGTCCGCAGTGCGTCTAAATGTAGATTTTCGACAAGTTTTTTTTGTTCTTTAGTGCAGTTATCCCAAAGGTGCGAACAGTAATCGAACGTTGGTAATATATATGACTTGTACATTTGCTCTAATGATTTTCTAGATAATCTATATTTAAAACTACGTAGACAATTTACCAATGGACGAACCTTTTAACTAATTCACCAATGTGGGAGTTCCATTTACAGTCTGATTGCAAGGTTATTCCTAGGTGTTTATGGTAGACGAATTCAATAATGTCTACTCCATGCATTTTAAGCTTAGGAATTGGAAATTGATTACCGGTATTTCTGCGAGTGAATAAAACAGCTTCAGTCTTACCAGGATTAAAGCTAACCTGCCATATTTCAGCCCAGTGAGAGATCCTGTTTAGGTCATTATTTAAGGAAGCGGCAGTAACAACATGATTATCAACAATAACATATACGGAAGTATCATCGGCAAAAAAAGACGATTGTTACTACTGATACCCTCAATGATATCATTTATGTAAACTAAAAACAGTAATGGCCCAAGGACAGATCCTTGTGGCACCCCAGCAGTGACTTTATTTAGATCTGAATTGTAATTGTCTATTGCTACTCTTTGTAATCTGTTGTCAAGATAACTGGAAAACCAATCAAGTAACTTACCCTTAATACCATAAGCTTCTAATTTCGCTATGATTCCCTTATGCCAAACCTTGTCAAAAGCCTTGCTTATGTCACAGAAAACTGCCCTGACTTCTTTGCCATTGTCTAATGCATGTAGTATAAAATCATACAAGTATGGCAGTTGGTATCCCCAGGCATGAATCCTGACTGCAAATTCGTTAATACGTTATTATCTAAAAAAAAGTTAAACACATGTTTAAAAATACATTTCTCAAATACCTTTGATAAACAGCTGGTAAGAGCAACTGGTCTGTAGTTTTTACATTCATTAAAACTACCTTTTATGAATAGGAGTGACAATAGCTTCCTTCCATATTGTTGGGAATTTACAATATTCTAGGGATAAATTGAATAGATTAGTAAGAGGAAGTACAAAGGGATGGCACGATGGCACATTTTGATAAATCTGTTACCTATTTTGTCTGGTCCACTGGCTTTGGAAATATCAACTGATAATAGGATGTCTCTTACTTCTTGTGTAGTCAATACAAAAGACGCAGAGTGGAGTCTTTACTTTACATTCAAGTGTAGGAGTCTCCTTATCAGGATAGTCAACTTGTGCATGGTTAGCAAAATATTCATTAAATATATTTACTTTATCTTTACTATCATTGATCATATTATCGTTATGAATAATCGAAGGAAATTTCTTATAATCTCCATTTTTTTGGATTTTATATACTTATTCACTAAAGCCCACCAAAATTTAGAATTACTCCCTGATTGATCTTATCATCTAAATCAGAAATATATTTAAATTTGGCTGCTCTCACGGCTGCTGTTACTTTGTTCCGTAAAAGCCTAAATTTTTGCCAGTCTTTATCATAATTTCGAGTCTTTGCTTTTTTATGCTGTTTATTTCTTTTCCTGATAAGTATTCTTATAGCACTATTCATCCATGGATTGTCCTGAGGTCTTATAGTTACCACATTGTTTGGGACATAAATATCGCATATATTTCTCAAAACATCAACAAATTCATGTGTTAGTATATCAATATCATTACATCTATAGATAGAATCCCAGTCAACGTTGTTAAGGCCTCGATTCATTCCCTCAGTATTAGCTAAATCATAATAAAACACTTTCCTTTTAAATTTTAAAGGCGTTGAATCAGAGCCCCCAACAGAGACATAAACTGGACAATGATCACTGCAAAAGGATCAAAGCACACCCGAAGTGCAGAATGCAATTAGGGTTTGAAACAAAGATTAAATCAATTAACGTACTAGTCGTTTGGGTGATCCTTGTTGGTTCTGTGATAAGTTGCTGTAAGTCATATGTATCAAAGAAGATTGTCAATCCACGTTATTAGTCTAGTTATGTATATTGATGTTAAAGTCACCAGCAATAATAGTATCTATGCCCATGTCAATGCCATTACCAATTGATTGGAGGACTAGTTCCCAATAAAGATCACTTTTATCTGCTAGTAGGATGATCATGGAGGACACTCTTATCTTTAGATGGTGCTGACATTGCCTTCCCTTGATACAAGATTTGAAGTTAAATTACCTGAGCATATATCCATCAAGTAAGGGAAATTCGTGGATTATCAAATTTCAAAAAGGCTTCTGAATTACTGGTACTTCCTCAGTTCCAAAATTGGGTTAAAACAGCCAGATAGGGTCGATGCATGGGGCGCACTAGGATCAGATAGCACATTAGTAACACCAGGAGGATTAATTTAACAAATAGAGCATACAAGCAGATGGAGACTATGGCTGTGGCTATGATAAGCCCCACAATGGGCGACTAAAGCACAAAGAGTGTCAACACACTCCCAGCAATCACCATGCAGATCCTGAGGAGCTTGCAAACTGAGCAAGGTTTTAATACCTTTACGTGAACACCTGGTATCATAACTATTTCATAGTGATTCATTAACACATCCACTGTCATATCGAATCAGGACAAAATCCACCCGGACAAAATCCACCCCAAAATTGCAACCTAGGACAAAATCCACCCGGACAAAATCCACCCTAATAAAATCCACCCAAAGAAAAAAAAAATCTTAAGTAGATGATCTCAAACTCATTTAAAATAAACAGGATGATCTCAAACTCATTAAAAAAGTATGTTCTATCAAAACATGAGTATAAAGGGCTCCAATCAGGCTTGCAAATACATCCTTATTCTTTAAGGGGATTATGGAATGATCAAATGTGTGAGACTACTTAATGATACATGAAAGAGGATTAAGTAGTGATCAAAATGTGACAAATGGAGAAACCTTTAATGTTTGAAACAACATCTAAGAACAACAGCCAATTTGGAAAACGTAAATCCTATCAAAACAATGCTTGAGAAAAACAACTTGGTCAAAGATCAGCACACACTAAAACTTTTAACAATAGCAATTTGAGAAGGGTGGATTTTGTCCATTTTTGTTAAGAAGAGGTGGATTTGGGGTTGCAATTTTGGGATGGATTTTGTCCAGGTGGATTTTGTCCGGGTGGATTTTGTCTGGTCACAAATCATATCGCATGGTGTCATTCACTGGATCATCCAAACTTGATTTTACAACAATGTACAGTTGTAATATTGCTCAAACAAATATATACTCATGATATAGTCACAATAGTACCATTGACTTTGCTTTCAGCAGAGATTTCTTATGAATCTGGAAAGGGATAGCTACTATTGTACCCAAGGAGGAAGATGAAATATTAGAGTTACACATGATAACCAAATAAGAAGCCAAGCCTCAGAAATCAATTTCTAACCAAAAAAACTCAGAAAACAAGTAAACATATGCGTGCATGTATACCACAACAAACAATAAGAAATTTCAATATGAAATGTACCTCTATGAGTAGAGGTAACTCCTACGGATAGCACTTGGAGGACCACAAGGAAGGAAGACATCAAACTTGGACTTAAACAATTTTTTTCAAGCTAAACCTGTGGACTCAGAGACAGATTTCAGGAAAAAGGCAATCACAGCTTGGATATATGTATTTGTAAGAATTTTTAAGTTAATTTCCAACTTTTTTTTAACAGAGTATAGCTGGAATATTACTATGAAGTCAGCTTTTAGCAAAATATCTTCTGAATATAAAACAAGTTTATCATATTTATTTAAATGCATCAAACCACTTTAAACTAAGACTGGAACTTCTTTCTACCACAGTTAATGTATTCCTGGAAGGTGTATTTGTGAAGATACAAGACTACTTTACTGTTAAATAAACTTCACAAAACAAACCATTAACACAACTTTATATGATGCACATTTTGTTCCTGCTAGTACAGAAAACAAATTAGGACAATATACACACATTTCTTAAGGGTAATCTATAACTAGCAACTGAAACACATTACCAAACTTATGTCATGTCATGCTGAACTGCTGCATAAATAGGTGTGATCCTAAACCTTACTCTATCACTAATATCTGCACCATTTTCTATTGATACTGAACACTTTAATGTTTGGCATGCTGAGCTGCTACATGAAGTAGTGTCACCCCTTTCATATCTTTTGCATTAAACTCTCCAAGTTTCTCTATGAGATACTCAACAGTTTCATATTTGGCAGGCTAAACTAATGCCACATGAAGTGGTGTGACTCCATTCTTATCTTCTACATTAACATTCACACCTTTCTCAATGAGATTCTGAACAGTTTCACGTTTGGTATGCTGAACTGCTACATGAAGTGGTGTGACTCCATTTTATCTTCTACATTAACATTCACACCTTTCTCAATGAGATTCTGAACAGTTTCACGTTTGGTATGCTGAACTGCTACATGAAGTGGTGTGACTCCATGGAAGTCTTCTGCATTAACACTGACATCTTTCTCTATGAGATATTGAACAGTTTCATGTTTGTCATGCTGAACTGATACACGAAGTGGTGCGACTCCATTGTTATCTTTTCCATTAACATTTGCACCTTTTTCTATGAGATACTCAACAGTTTCATGTTCGGTATGCTGAACTGCTATATCATGGAATAATCATTCATACGAAAATTCATTATTAATTATAACCACTACAAGCGATATATTAGGATTCAGATAATAGGAAAATATAAATATACAACTGTTTCATGTTTGGCATACTGAACCGCTACATGACCACGGTGTGACTCCATGGAAGTCTTCTGCATTAACACTGGCACCTTTCTCTATGAGATACAGAACACGTTCATGTTTGGCATGCTTAACTGCTACATGAAGTGGTGTGACTCCATGGAAGTCTTTGCATTAACACTGGCACCTTTCTCTATGAGATACTTAACACTTTCATGTTTGGCATGCTGAACTGCCCCATTAAGTGGTGTGACTCCATACCTCTCTTCTCCATTAACATTCACATGTTTCACTATGAACATTCTCTGTATATGCTGAACTGCTACATGAAGTGGTGTGACTCCAATCTGATCTGTTACATTTACATGTGCACCTTTCTCTATGAGATACTCAACAGTTTCATGTTTGGCATGCTGAACTGCTACACGGAGTGGTGTGACTCCATTCTTATCTTCTGCATTGACATTTGCACCTTTCTCTATGAGATTCTGAACAGTTTCACGTTTGGTATGCTGAACTGCTACATGAAGTGGTGTGACTCCATTTTATCTTCTGCATTAACACTGACATCTTTCTCTATGAGATATTGAACAGTTTCATGTTTGTCATGCTGAACTGATACAAGTAAGTGGTGCGACTCCATTGTTATCTTTTCCATTAACATCTGCACCTTTCTCTATGAGGATACTCAACAGTTTCATGTTTGGTATGCTGAACTGCTATATCAAGGAATAATAATTCATACGAAAATTCATTATTAATTATAACCACTACAAGCGACATATTAGGATTCAGATAATAGGAAAATATAAATATAGAATATTAGTTTCATCATGTATCAGTAATAGCTTGAGAAAGACTCCTGTCAAAAGTAGTAAAACTCATCTCACAGACATACTATTATGTTACGGCTGCACAATTTCACAGATGTTCAGGATAAATCCTAGCCTAAGGTTTCAAGGACTCAAACCTTTCAGTAAGACAAAGTAATCTCTAGACGATTTAATGAACTGCTTTGATAAAGTAAACATGTCATCACCTCCATTAAAATATAAATATTGTGCAAACACTTTAAATTAGGGTCATTAAAGCCATCTATTGTAAACACCATAATCATCAAAGCAACATGTCAGCACAATTAGTGCCAGTTAAATTAGGAAGCTTCCAGGACATGTGTCAACACAATATAGTGCCAGTTGAAATAGGGTTAGCAGGATTAAGTACTTACTCCCTGTCTGGTCATTTCATTTGTAGGACACACCCCATACCTCATATTCTGTATTTCATTGGTTAGTATAGGTAACACCCATTTTGTATCATTCAACGAATCATAATCGTTTTATTGTTTCAATTTTAGATAAATAGTCACCAACTCCATTAGTTCGTCAGTGGGGATTAAGACTCCCAACACAGGTCATCTCTAACCCTCGGCCCAAAGGGTTGTACCGACTCTGTGGCCACCCCATATTATTTCTTTTTGTTAATAAAATTGTAATTAGCTTCTTGTGACTTCGGACTCTTTGCTGAGCTAATTCCCCCCAAGCAGACCAGCACGCCAGTTAGATAAGGGGTTTCACCAGAATACTCACTTGGACCCAAGACCCTTATCACAATAGCTAAATAAAGGAATGTGACTCCAGTCTTATCTATTGCACTAACATTGGCACCTTTCTCTATGAACTGAACACTTTCATGTAAGGTATGCTTAACTGCTACATGAAGTGGTGTGAATCGATTCTTATCTTCTGCATTAATGTTTGCACTTTTCTCTATAAGATACTGAACAGTTTCACGTTTGGCATGCTGAACAGCTACATGAAGTGGTGTGACTCAATTCTTATCTTCTCCATTAACATTGGCACCTTTTTCTGTGAGATACTCAACAGTGACGTGTTTTGCATGCTCAGTTGCTACATGAAGTGGGTGTGACTCCATTCTTATCTTCTGCATTAACATTTGCACTTTGCTCTCTGAGAGATACTCAAAAGTTTCATATTTGGCATGCTGAACTGCTGCACGAAGTGGTGTGACTCAATCTGATCTTCGGCATTAACATTTGCTCCTCTCTCTATGAGTTACTGAACAGTTTCATGTTTGGCATGCTGCACTGCTACATGAAGTGGTGTGACTCCAATCTGATCTTTGGCATTAACATTTGCTCCCTCTCTATGAGATACTGAACAGTTTCATGTTTGGCATGCTGAACTGCTACATGAAGTGGTGTGACTCCAATCTGATCTTTGACATTAACATTTGCTCCCTCTCTATGAGATACTGAACAGTTTCATGTTTGGCATGCTGAACTGCTGCACGAAGTGGTGTGCTGTGACTCCATTCTTATCTTTTTGCATTACCATTTGCATCTTTTCTCTATTAGATACTGAACACTTTCATGTTTGGCATGCTGAACTGCTACATGCAGTGGTGTGACTCCATTCTTATCTTCTGCATTGACATTTGCACCTTTGTCTATTAGATACTTGAAAACTTTCATGTTTGGCATGCTGAACTGCTACACGGAGTGGTGTGACTTCATTCTTATCTTTTGCATTAACATTTGCACCTTTCTCTATGAGATACTGAACACTTTCATGTTTGGCATGCTGAACTGCTACATGAAGTGGTGTGACTCCATTCTTATCTTTTGCATTGACATTTGCACCTGTTCTCTATCAGATACTGAACACTTTCATGTTTGGTATGCTGAACTGCTACACAGAGTGGTGTGACTCCATTCTTATCTTTTGCATTGACATTTGCACCTTTCTCTATGAGATACTGAACACTTTCATGTTTGGCATGCTGAACTGCTACATGAAGTGGTGTGACTCCATTCTTATCTTTTGCATTGACATTTGCACCTTTCTCTTTGAGATACTGAACACTTTCATGTTTGGTATGCTGAACTGCTACACAGAGTGGTGTGACTCCATTCTTATCTTTGCATTGACATTTGCACCTTTCTCTATCAGATACTGAACACTTTCATGTTTGGCATGCTGAACTGCTACATGAAGTGGTGTGACCTCCATACAAGTCTTCTGCATTAATATTCACACCTTTCTCTATGAGAGATACTCAACAGTTTCATGTTTGGCATGCTCAGTTGCTACATGAAGTGGTGCGGATTTCATTCATACCTTCTGCATTAACACTGGCACCTTTCTCTATGAGATACTCAACAGTTTCATGTTTGGCATGCTGAACTGCTACATAAAGTGGTGTGACTCCATTCATATCTTTGCATTAACATTGGCACCTTTCTCTAAGAGATACTGAACAGTTTCATGTTTGGCATGCTGAACTGCTACACGGAGTGGTGTGACTCCATTCTTATCTTCTGCATTAACACTGGCACCTTTCTCCATGAGATACTCAACAGTTTCATGCTTAGCATGCTGAACTGATACATGAAGAGGTGTGACTTCATTCTTCACTTCTGCATGAACATTCGTGACCTTTCTTTATGAGATACTGGACAGTTTCATGCTTGGCATGCTCCAGCTGCTACATGAAGTGGTGTGACTCCATTCTTATCTTCTGCATTAACATTGGCACCTTCTCTATGAGATACTCAACTGTTTCATGTTTGGCATACTGAACTGATACACGAAGTGGGTGTGACTCCATGGAAGTCTTCTGCATTAACACTGGCACCTTCTCTATGAGATACAGAACACGCTCATGTTTGGCATGCTGAACTGCTACGAAGTGGTGTGACTCCTTTCTTATCTTCTGCATTAACATTGGCACCTTCTCTATGAGATACTCAACTGTTTCATGTTTGGCATACTGAACTGATACACGAAGTGGTGTGGACTCCATGGAAGTCTTCTGCATTAACACTGGCACCTTTCTCTATGAGATACAGAACACGTTCATGTTTGGCATGCTGAACTGCTACATGAAGTGGTGTGACTCCATGGAAGTCTTTTGCATTAACACTGGCACCTTTCTCTATGAGACACCTCAACAGTTTCATGTTTGGCATGCTGAACTGCTACACGGAGTGGTGTGACTCCATTCTTATCTTCTGCATTGACATTTGCACCCTTCTATGGGATTCTGAACAGTTTCATGTTTGGCATGCTGAACTGCTGCACGGAGTGGTGTGACTCTATTCTTATCTTCTGCATTAACACTGGCACCTTTCTCTATGAGATACTGAACAGTTACATGTTTGGCATGCTGAACTGCTACATGAAGAGGTGTGACTTCATTCTTAACTTCTGCATGAACATTCGGCACCTTTCTTTATGAGATACTGGACAGTTTCATGTTTGGCATGCTGAACTGCTACATGAAGTGGTGTGACTCCTTTCATATTCTTTGCATTAACACTGGCACCTTTCTATGAGATACTCAACAGTTTCATGTTTGGCATGCTGAACTGATACACGAAGTGGTGCTGACTCCATTGTTATCTTTTTCCATTAACATTTGCACCTTTTTCTATGAGATACTCAACAGTTTCATGTTCGGTATGCTGAACTGCTATATCATGGAATAATCATTCATACGAAAAATTCATTATTAATTATAACCACTACAAGCGATATATTAGATTCAGATAATAGGAAAATATAAATATACAACTGTTTCATGTTTGGCATACTGAACTGCTACATGAAGTGGTGTGACTCCATGGAAGTCTTCTGCATTAACACTGGCACCTTTCTCTATGAGATACAGAACACGTTTCATGTTTGGCATGCTTAACTGCTACATGAAGTGGTGTGACTCCATTGGAAGTCTTTTGCATTAACACTGGCACCTTTCTCTATGAGATACTCAACAATTTCATGCTTAGCATGCTGAACTGCTACATGAAGTGGTGTGACTCCATTCTTATCTACTGCATTAACACTGGCACCTTTCTCTATGAGATACTGAACAGTTTCATGTTTGGCATGCTGAACTGCTACACGGAGTGGTGTGACTCCATTCCTATCTTCTGCATTCACATTTGCACCTTTCTCTATGAGATTCTGAACAGTTTCATGTTTGGCATGCTGAACTGCCCCATTAAGTGGTGTGACTCCATACCTCTCTTCTCCATTAACATTCACATGTTTCACTATGAACATTCTCTGTATATGCTGAACTGCCAAACTGAGTGGAAGCTGACTCCTTTCTGATCTGTTACATTTACATGTGCACCTTTCTATGAGATACTCAACAGTTTCATGTTTGGCATGCTGAACTGCTACCGCGAGTGGTGTGACTCCATTCTTATCTTCTGCATTGACATTTGCACCTTTCTCTATGAGATTCTGAACAGTTTCACGTTTGGTATGCTGAACTGCTACATGAAGTGGTGTGACTCCATTTTATCTTCTGCATTAACACTGACATCTTTCTCTATGTGGATATTGAACAGTTTCATGTTTGTCATGCTGAACTGATACGAAGTGGTCGCGACTCCATTGTTATCTTTTCCATTAACATCTGCACCTTTTTTCTATGAGATACTCAACAGTTTCATGTTGTATGCTGAACTGCTATATCATGGAATAATAATTCATACGAAAATTCATTATTAATTATAACCACTTACAAGCGATATATTAGGATTCAGATAATAGGAAAATATAAATATAGAATTAGTTTCATCATGTATCAGTAATAGCTTGGAGAAAGACTCCTGTCAAAAGTAGTAAAACTCATCTCACAGACATACTATTATGTTACGGCTGCACAATTTCACAGATGTTCAGGATAAATCCTAGCCTAAGGTTTCAAGGACTCAAACCTTTCAGTAAGACAAAGTAATCTCTAGACGATTTAATGAACTGCTTTGATAAAGTAAACATGTCATCACCTCCATTAAAATATAAATATTATTGCAAACACTTTAAATTAGGGTCATTAAGCCATCTATTGTAACACCATAATCATCAAAGCAACATGTCAGCACAATTAGTGCCAGTTAAATTAGGAAGCTTCAGGACATGTGTCAACACTAATATAGTGCCAGTTGAAATAGGATTAGCAGGATTAAAGTACTCTCCTGTCTGGTCATTTCATTTGTAGGACACACCCCATACCTCATATTCTGTATTTCATTGGTTAGTATAGGTAACACCCATTTTGTATCATTCAACTTAATCATAATCTTTTTATTGTTCAATTTTAGATAAATAGTCACCAACTCCATTAGTTCGTCGGTAGGGTTTAAGACTCCCAACACAGGTCATCTCTCTAACCCTCAGCCCAGAGGGTTGTACCGACTCTCTGTGGCCACCCCATATTATTTCTTTTTGTTAATAAAATTGTAATTAGCTTCTTGTGACTTTCGAACTCTTTGCTGAGCTAATTCCCCCAAGCAGACCAGCACGCCAGTTAGATAAGGGGTTTCACCAGAATACTCACTTGGACCCAAGACCCTTATCACAATAGCTAAATAAAGGAATGTGACTCCAGTCTTATCTATTGCACTAACATTGGCACCTTTCTCTATGAACTGAACACTTTCATGTAAGGTATGCTTAACTGCTACATGAAGTGGTGTGAATCGATTCTTATCTTCTGCATTAATGTTTGCACTTTTTTCTCTATAAGATACTGAACAGTTTCACGTTTGGCATGCTGAACAGCTACATGAAGTGGTGTGACTCAATTCTTATCTTCTCCATTAACATTGGCACCTTTTCTTTGAGATACTCAACAGTGACGTGTTTTGCATGCTCAGCTGCTACATGAAGTGGTGTGACTCAATTCTTATCTTCTGCATTAACATTTGCACTTTGCTCTCTGAGATACTCAAAAGTTTCATATTTGGCATGCTGACCTGCTGCACGAAGTGGTGTGACTCAATCTGATCTTCAGCATTAACATTTGCTCCTCTCTATGAGATACTGAACAGTTACATGTTTGGCATGCTGAACTGCTACATGAAGTGGGTGTGACTCAATCTGATCTTTGGCATTAACATTTGCTCCTCTCTATGAGATACTGAACAGTTTCATGTTTGGCATGCTGAACTGCTACTTGAAGTGGTGTGACTCCAATCTGATCTTTGGCATTAACATTTGCTCCTCTCTCTATGAGATACTGAACAGTTTCATGTTTGGCATGCTGAACTGCTACATGCAGTGGTGTGACTCCATTCTCATCTTCTGCATTGACATTTGCACCTTTCTCTATTAGATACTGAGCAGATTCATGTTTGGCATGCTGAACTGCTACATGAAGTGGTGCGACTCCATTCTTATCTTCTGCATTGACATTTGCACCTTTCTCTATTAGATGCTTAACAGTTTCATGTTTGGCATGCTGAACTGCTACATAAAGTGGTGTGACTCCATTCTTATCTTTTGCATTGACATTTGCACGTTCTCTATGAGATACTGAACACTTTCATGTTTGGGATGCTGAACTGCTACACAGAGTGGTGTAACTCCATTCTTATCTTTTGCATTGACATTTGCACCTTTCTCTATCAGATACTGAACACTTTCATGTTTGGCATGCTGAACTGCTACACGGAGTGGTGTGACTCCATTCCTATCTTCTGCATTGACATTTGCACCTTTCTCTATTAGATAGTGAACAGTTTCATGTTTGGCATGCTGAACTGCTACATGAAGTGGTGCGACTCCATTCTTATCTTCTGCATTGACATTTGCACCTTTCTCTATTAGATACTTAACAGTTTCATGTTTGGCATGCTGAACTGCTACATGAAGTGGTGTGACTTCATTCTTATCTTTTGCATTGACATTTGCACCGTTCTCTATGAGATACTGAACACTTTCATGTTTGGGATGCTGAACTGCTACACAGAGTGGTGTGACTCCATTCTTATCTTTTGCATTGACATTTGCACCTTTCTCTATCAGATACTGAACACTTTCATGTTTGGCATGCTGAACTGCTACCGCAGATTGGTGTGACTCCATTCCTATCTTCTGCATTGACATTTGCACCTTTCTCTATTAGATAGTGAACAGTTTCATGTTTGGCATGCTGAACTGCTACATGAAGTGGTCTGACTCCATACATATCTACTGCATTAACATTGGCACCTTTCTCTATGAGATACTGAACAGTTTCATGTTTGGCATGCTGAACTGCTACATGAAGTGGTGTGACTCCATACATATCTACTGCATTAACACGGGCACCTTTCTCAATGAGATACTGAACAGTTACATGTTTGGCATGCTGAACTGCTGCTATGGAAGAAGTGTGACTCCTTTCATATTCTTTTGTATTAACATTGGCACGTTTCTATGAGATACTGAACAGTTTCATGTTTGGCATGCTGAACTGCTACATAAAGTGGTGTGGACTCCATTCTTATCTTTTGCATTAACACTGGCACCTTTCTCTATGAGATAACTCAACTGTTTCATGTTTGGCATGCTGAACTGATACACGAAGTGGTGTGACTCCATACATATCTACTGCATTAACACTGGCACCTTTCTCTATGAGATACTGAACAGTTTCATGTTTGGCATGCTGAACTGCTGCTAACGAAGTGGTGTGACTCCATTCCTATCTTCTGCATTCACATTTGCACCTTCTCTATGAGATTCTGAACAGTTTCATGTTTGGCATGCTGAACTGCCCCATTAAGTGGTGTGTGGACTCCATACCTCTCTTCTCCATTAACATTCACATGTTTCACTATGAACATTCTCTGTATATGCTGAACTGCCAAACTGAGTGAAGCTCTAATTTTCTGATCTGTTACATTTACATGTGCACCTTTCTCTATGAGATACTCAACAGTTTCCATGTTTGGCATGCTGAACTGCTACACGGAGTGGTGTGACTCCATTCTTATCTTCTGCATTGACATTTGCACCTTCTCTATGAGATTCTGAAACAGTTTCACGTTTGGTATGCTGAACTGCTACATGAAGTGATGCTGACTCCATTGTTATCTTTCCATTAACATCTGCACCTTTTTCTATGAGATACTCAACAGTTTCATGTTAGGGGTATGCTGAACTGCTATATCATGGAATAATAATTCATCGCTGAAAAATTCATTATTAATTATGGAAGCCACTACAAAGCGATATATTAGATTCAGATAATAGGAAAATATAAATATAGAATATTAGTTTCATCATGTATCAGTAATAGCTTGGAGAAAGACTCCTGTCAAAAGTAGTAAACTCATCTCTACAGACATACTATTATGTTACGGCTGCACAATTTCACAGATGTTCAGGATAAATCCTAGCCCTAAGGTTTCAAGCTGACTCAAACCTTTCAGTAAGACAAAGTAATCTCTAGACGATTTAATGAACTGCTTTGATAAAGTAAACATATCATCACCTTCCATTAAAATATATAAATATTGTGCAAACACTTTAAATTAGGGTCATTAAGCCATCTATTGTAACACCATAATCATCAAAGCAACATGTCAGCACAATTAGGTGCCAGTTAAATAAGGAAGCTTCCAGGACGTGTGTCAACCTATTATAGTGCCAGTTGAAATAGGGATTAGCAGGGATTAAGTACTCTCCCTGTCTGGTCATTTCCTATTTGTAGGACACACCCCATACCTCATATTCTGTATTTCATTGGTTGGTATAGGTAACACCCATTTTGTATCATTCAACTCATCATAATCTTTTATTGTTCAATTTTAGATAAATAGTCACCAACTCCATTAGTTCACGGTCCCGGTGGGTTTGACTCCCAACACAGGTCATCTCTAACCCTCAGCCCAGAGGGTTGTACCGACTCTCTGTGGCCACCCCATATTATTTCTTTTGTTAATAAAATTGTAATTAGCTTCTTGTGACTTGAACTCTTTGCTGAGCTAATTCCCCAAAGACAGACTCAGCACCAGTTAGATAAGGGGTTTCACCAGAATACTCACTTGGACCCAAGACCCTTATCACAATAGCTAAATAAAGGAATGTGACTCCAGTCTTATCTATTGCACTAACATTGGCACCTTTCTCTATGAACTGAAACACTTTCATGTAAGGTATGCTTTAACTGCTACACATGAAGTGGTGTGAATCGATTCTTATCTTCTGCATTAATGTTTGCACTTTTCTCTATAAGATACTGAACAGTTTCACGTTTGGCATGCTGAACAGCTACATGAAGTGGTGTGACTCAATTCTTATCTTCTCCATTAACATTGGCACCTTTTTTCTTTGAGATACTCAACAGTGACGTGTTTTGCATGCTCAGCTGCTACATGAAGTGGTGTGACTCAATTCTTATCTTCTGCATTAACATTTGCACTTTGCTCTCCTGAGATACTCAAAAAGTTTCTATATTTGGCATGCTTTGACCTGCTGTAACGGAAGTGGTGTGACTCAATCTGATCTTCAGCATTAACATTTGCTCCTCTCTCTATGAGATACTGAACAGTTACATGTTTGGCATGCTGAACTGCACTGCATGAAGTGGTGTGACTCCAATCTGATCTTTGGCATTAACATTTGCTCCTCTCTATGAGATACTGAACAGTTTCATGTTTGGCATGCTGAACTGCTACTTGAAGTGGTGTGACTCCAATCTGATCTTTGGCATTAACATTTGCTCCTCTCTCTATGAGATACTGAACAGTTTCATGTTTGGCATGCTGAACTGCTACATGCAGTGGTGTGACTCCATTCTCATCTTCTGCATTGACATTTGCACCTTCTCTATTAGATACTGAGCAGATTCATGTTTGGCATGCTGAACTGCTACATGAAGTGAGTGCGACTCCATTCTTATCTTCTGCATTGACATTTGCACCTTTCTCTATTAGATACTTAACAGTTTTCACGTTGTTTGGCATGCTGAACTGCTACATAAAGTGGTGTGGACTCCATTCTTATCTTTTTGCATTGACATTTTACACGTTCTCTATGAGATACTGAACACTTTCATGTTTGGGATGCTGAACTGCTACACAGAGTGGTGTAACTCCATTCTTATCTTTTGCATTGACATTTGCACCTTTCTCTATCAGATACTGAACACTTTCATGTTTGGCATGCTGAACTGCTACACGGGTGAGTGCGACTCCATTCCTATCTTCTGCATTGACATTTGCACCTTTCTCATTAGATAGTGAACAGTTTCATGTTTGGCATGCTGAACTGCTACATGCATTGAAGATGCTGACTCCATTCTTATCTTCTGCATTGACATTTGCACCTTTCTCTATTAGATACTTAACAGTTTCATGTTTGGCATGCTGAACTGCTACATGAAGTGGTGTGACTTCATTCTTATCTCTTTGCATTGACATTTGCACCGTTCTCTATGAGATACTGAACACTTTCATGTTTGGGATGCTGAACTGCTACACAGAGTGTGGTGTGACTCCATTCTTATCTTTTGCATTGACATTTGCACCTTTCTCTATCAGATACTGAACACTTTCATGTTTGGCATGCTGAACTGCTACACGGAGTGGTGTGACTCCATTCCTATCTTCTGCATTGACATTTGCACCTTTCTCTATTAGATAGATGAACAGTTTCATGTTTGGCATGCTGAACTGCTACATGAAGTGGTCTGACTCCATACATATCTACTGCATTAACATTGGCACCTTTCTCTATGAGATACTGAACAGTTTCATGTTTGGCATGCTGAACTGCTACATGAAGTGGTGTGACTCCATACATATCTACTGCATTAACACGGGCACCTTTCTCAATGAGATACTGAACAGTTACATGTTTGGCATGCTGAACTGCTACATGAAGAAGTGTGACTCCTTTCATATTCTTTGTATTAACATTGGCACGTTTCTCTATGAGAGGATACTGAGACAGTTTCATGTTTGGCATGCTGAACTGCTACATAAAGTGGTGTGACTCCATTCTTATCTTTTGCATTAACATTGGCACCTTTCTCTAAGGATACTCAACTGTTTCATGTTTGGCATGCTGAACTGATACGAAGTGGTGCGACTCCATGGAAGTCTTCTGCATTAACACTGGCACCTTTCTCTATGAGGATACAGAACACGTTCATGTTTGGCATGCTCAGCTGCTACATGAGCGGTGGTGTGACTCCATTCTTATCTTCTGCATTAACACTGGCACCTTTCTCTATGAGATACTGAACAGTTTCATGTTTGGTATGCTGATCGCTGCTACGGAAGTGGTGTGACTCCTTTCTTATCTTTTGCATTAACACTGGCACCTTTCTCTATGAGATACTGAACAGTTTCATGTTTGGCATGCTGAACTGCTACATGAAGTGGTGTGACTCCTTTCATATTCTTTGCATTAACACTGGCACCTTTCTCCATGAGATACTGAACAGTTTCATGTTTGGCATGCTCAGCTGCTACATGAAGTGGTGTGACTTCATTCCTACTTTTTGCATTAACATTGGCAACTTTCTCCATACGATACTGAACAGTTTCATGTTCAGCACATGTTCTTTGTACATTAAATGTGTCGACTGTACCCTCCTTCAGTTCATCAAGAAGAAAGGGCCATTTATCCAAGAATAATCCCAGAATATCCACCCTATCTAACCGAATGGTAAGCTCTATGGGACTTAAATATTCATATTTGTGGCTGAAGGAATAACCAATATGTCGGAGGATGTCAATGATGTCAAACCATTTCTGTATGAATACAGTATTGCCAAGATGATTCAGTAGGTTGCTCCCTGTACATATTTCACAGAGGCCAAGAATGGCAGCATGTATTGGATGATCTCCATGATGACTATTATACTTCGGTCTAAGATATTCAACACAAGAGATGTTCCCCGCCTTACAGGCCAACATAAGAGGTGTCATTCCTGACACTGTGGCAGTAGACAAATGTTCAGGTTCAAGGAGGAGATGAAGTTTTACTTCACTTTCTATGTCTGACTGAGCAGCAAAGTGGAGTGGAAGCCATCCTTCTGAATTCTTTAGTGATTTGTCTACATTGAGTTGTAACAGGTATTCCACCATCTCTGCTGTGCCTATGTGAGCTGCAAGGTGCAGTGGTGTGTCTCCTCTACTTGTTGTACATGCAATGTTTCCACCATATTGATGAATCATTGACAGAGGATAAGTTTCTCTACATCCTGTTGCTAAAAGTACCAATTCATCACTTGAACAGCTTATACCAAGTGTGTAAAAGATTGGAATCAGTTCTAAAAATGCATCCATCTTCATTTGCCTCAATATACTCAAATACAATAAGGGTGTCACATTATGAAACTGTAATAAGAAGCATTTGGACAGCTGCACAAGCAGTTTTCTCCCTTTATCTGTTTTACACATTAAGTCGGCAAGTTTCTCTAAACTTTCCCAGTTATTCTTTTCTAACAACAATGCCACCAGTGGCCACTTGAAAATGTTCATGATTGATGCATCAAATGTATCCAGGATGTGATCAAAAGCAGTGTTGTCTGCAGTCTCAGAAGCACATGATGCAACAATGCAGGCTTCAGATATACAAGTCTTTCTCTTTAACATTTCTTGAATCAGTTCTGAATTTCCCCCTATAGATAGCACTGGCCAATACATCTTGTGTTGTTTCCGTCAACGCAACCTCTGATAAACAATTGTCAGCTGTTGCCATCAGATCCAGTACTATCAGGTTGCAGCCATTGAGTGCAAAATAACACAAGACAGAAGTAAACCGCATGGGACCAAGATATCTTCAATATGTAATGTTGGAATGTCCTCTGCAATACCAACAGCCAAAGCTGAAAGTCTTTCCACTGTTTGCTTACTGAAAATACTTTTGTGAAGATTTCTTTGGTGCAGTTCTGAAACCTTATAATTTTCCTTTTGTCTTCAACTTTCCAGAAACTATGTGTAAGAAATTCACAAAAATTCAGGATCCTGAAAAGCTGGATGTGTAATGATTAGTTCCTGGTTTGTGGACAACAATTCTTGTGTGAGTCTCTCAGAAAGAATACCAAACTTATTTCTGGGGATTAATATGATATGGTCAGATTCTGATGTTGGTGATGTTCTTACATATTCCAGTAAAACACTAAGGGTGCAGAACTTGAGCCCAGTTGTAAGTTTCTCTTTGCGGGACTTGAATGGAAATGACATCCATTACTGATTGATGTACAAACCTGTAGCTTTCTTTGTTTTCTACAAAGGTAAGATACATTGGGCACGTGTCTTGGCTTTACTCTCTAACTGATGAATGTCACAATTTCTGAAACTGAGCAGCTTCTCAAGGAGGTCGCTGTCTTCTTTGATCGGTCAAATGGATCAAAAAAGCTCCTATGTAGTTCCCCACCTTTCAGAAATTGCAACAACAACACCATATAACCTACTGGATCAGCATCTGACAGACTTCTTATATTCTCTGATAAACACTTCAGTGGCTTGGAGAAAAAGTTGATGCCTTGAGGATGGAGTGATTTATCTTTAGCAAAGACAGAGCAGCATTGGGGAATCCCATCAGGTCAGTGCTTTTGGACAATCCTTTGTTTCTCGATAATGTCAATGCAGGTGTCAGTTCCAAACAGTTTCAAATGACCTTCAAGAATAGCTAATCTTTCTTGTGCTTGGTTTTTCCTCAATGACTGAGAAATCAACATTTGGACATTTCTTAAGAAAAGTAATTTTACCAACACATGCTGACAATATATTTGAACGGCTCTTGTTATCACCAGTTTCGACAATTCCATTCTCTATTAAAGGGATGATCATAGGGAATTTCTTGTCCCATCTGTCCACCAGATCCTGAACCAGATTTGTTTTTCCAAAGGCATCATCTATCAAAACAACAAATGTTTGTTGAACTTTCCTTTCATTAAGTTTCACTGAATATAGTCCCACTGACTGGTGTCAGTCAGGAATTACAGCTATCCCGCACTCCTGTTCTGAGAAACTCTTTAGTAAAGCCAAACCAGCAGGCGCTCTTTCCATCGCCTGACCTGCCAGTGAGAACAACCACACCTCTTGAGTGAAGAAATTTTTCAGATTGTGTGATGAAGTGTGTCTTCACAAACGGTATCACTTTCAAATCTCTCAGGCAGAGTTTACTCTGATCTGCAAAAGTACAAGAAAAATAGTGTCACAACATTGAAAGTGCCTGCATTAGTAGGCAATGATTCAAAATACCAACTGAGACATATCCTTGACTCTATGTGCCTTCTGAGATTCATTTGTATTGTACCACACAATTTTGCCTAATTATATTATTATGTCATGAGGAAAACATGTCCATTTTCCTGCCTTGCATAAAAACCCAATACTGTGACAAAACATCAACATTAGTTTAACATATTTCAGTCTGCTACACATAATATTTCTTAATATGTATGTTACTAATCAAAGTCACTTTGTATGTTATCTGGTAATTGATATTTTATTTCTCTGTCCCTGTAAAATTAAGACCAGGCACCTTTGGGACAGAAAAGTTGCCAATGAGGGGAAGAGATATCAAGACAATTTTAAAAAACATAAGCAAGTTTTCAAATGAGTTTCAGAAGCTAGTAATGCGATACATTAGAGGCATCAATATTAAGGACTCAGATTGATTTTTAAATATTGGTCACAGATATAAAAACTAACATCCATTTACGTTCTATACTAAATCACAAGAAAGGCATGAACATAATGAAATAAAACAAAATTATATTTCTTATATGAGAACTTTTCATTCCCTGAGCCAAATATACATATTGCACATTTCTTTTCTGACAAGAAGATTTTCACCACATGTAAGCAGAAGAGGTGTTCTACCTTTCTTCATATCATCATGGTATTTCACTCTGATTAACCTGTAATAATGAAGGATGTTGTTATTAAGTTCAGAGGTTTCAAAGGTGGGGTAGCCTAATGGTTAAAGTGTTTGCTCATCATGCCAAAGACCCACATTCGATTCCCCACATGGGTACAATGCGTGAAGCCCATTTATGATGTCCCCCACCGCCAGTGTTATCACAACCCCTAGTGTACAGTACACAACCCTGTGCACTTACAAGAACCCACAAAATTGTTGGTGAAAAAACAGATGATGGCCACATGAATACGCGCAAACTTGGGGGTACAGCAACGTGCAGTAAACTTGGACAAAGTACTGTGACTATATGTTCCAGTCCATCCAACTGTGAATGGGTTAACTATGTTCCCGGCGGCCGAAACATTGTGTGCCGTGGGATTTTGGCCATTTTTTCCCTCCATGGTCAAGTTTTGTTAGGTCCTGCTAAGTTATCTCATGGTATCCATGATGGGCCTTTGGGAAAAACGGGCTGCTGAGTCCGGGATGCTCCAAAGTGCATTACGCGGTTTAATATCTCCGCAGACCACTACAGGTGCCTTACGTTTCCTCCGGCCTGTCGTGTTCTGATGGATTCCCTCATGTTTTGATTAAGGTTTCATGCTTTGCACATTCTGTGAAGACTTTCTACAGATGAAACATGGATGTCGGCCAGCTTTGGAGCACGTTTGTGCCCACAGTATAAAAATAGTTTCTTGTGTGACCCAATTAAAGTGCACTTAGTGGTTGTGTAGCCTGTAAAACTGTGCGTGTGTGTTGTTAATTTCTTTATACTACAGTGGATGAGATTTTGTGTGCAGGTGGGTGTAGCTGGGTGGGGTGATGTATGCTAACAATCTTGTTAATCTGCTTGTGAGTGTAAAGTAATGTTACAGTTACGGATGAGGGAAGTTGTGTGAAGGTGTGTGTGTGTATGTGAGTGTATGTTTCTGTAAAGTAATGTTACAGTTACGGATGAGGGAAGTTGGGTGAAGGTGTGTGTATGTGAGTGTATGTTTCTATAAAGTAATGTTACAGTTACGGATGAGGGAAGTTGGGTGAAGGTGTGTGTATGTGAGTGTATGTTTCTGTAAAGTAATGTTACAGTTACGGATGAGGGAAGTTGGGTGAAGGTGTGTGTATGTGAGTGTATGTTTCTATAAAGTGAGCGATATATGTGGTCTAGCGGGTGGAAGGGTGTGGGCATTACTGTGTGGTGAATTGAAACATTGTGTTATTTCCTTATGTGTGCATGTTTGTGGATGGTGAATGCAGAGTGGATATGTGTTTGTTGTCTGTGAGCTTTAGATTGGATTATGCTAGGTGTTATGGTGTATGCTAGTTAAGGTTCCCCATTATGCTCAATTTTAATATATATATATATTTTTTTTCATGGTTTGTGATGTCATAGATTTAAATGTTTTAATGTCTCTCATAGCCAGTATGGTCGCTATACATTGCAATTGGTCACATCATCATATTTTAGACTCCATAAATGTATTTGGTGAATCAAAATGAACAATCTCTCTCTCTCTCTCTCCCTTCCCCCTCTCTCTCTATCGAGTCCTGCTGGGCCTGCCGTTTATACTCCCTCCCAGACCACGTGCACCGAATCAGACCATAGTAGAACACAGCATGCCGTATCTCGCCGGTCCTGTAAACCATCACACGCCTGGATGTGTCGTGATAGAACAGGATAAATAGGCTACCAGACACCCAAGCTTGCCTTGAAAACCAGGACAAAACGGCAGCTAGGGTGAAACAACCATGACAAAACGTGGCCGAACATAACAAAACTTGAAAGGACCGTGAGATGCCGGGGAATACACATGCCTCCTGTCCCACTACAGACCCACTATGTACCGACTACAAGTTTTGTTACGGTCTATTACATGCTGTCACGTTTTGTTGCATTTCCCCCATTTTACTACAGCGTATGTTTCTCATTAGTACCAGGACTGCCGTGGCAAATTTTTTAACAGTTTAAAAATCTGGCATGGCATCCACGGCAATCACGGACTGTCACGTTTGCTCATTCAGTCCCCCACATTGTCTCACGTCCATCCTGTTTTGTTCCCGTTTCACAAAGTTTCGGGCGAAACGGGCTACAGGCGTTGCTGCCGGGGAACATAGAGTGTAACCCTATCATAAGGATGGGAAAGCCACATTAACTCAGTAATCCTGGTGGCTGAAGAGTTATGTGATCCCCAGGGAGTTGAGATTGATAATAAGCTGTTTGAGATTGACATCCAATGATCAAGAGAAAAACAAAGCACCTTTGAGCAGCTGAGCTGGATATTGCCGCTATACAAATATTATCATAATAATAATGATAATATTGCTGAGAAATTTCGTAAAACCATACTCACTCAGTCACTACAAGGTGAAATGTGAGGGAGGGGTAGTTGAAATATTCTGAGGGGAGTGGGGTAGGCTTATGGTTAAAGTGTTCACTCATCTGGGTTCAATTCCCCACATGTGTGAGGCCTATTTTTGCTGTCCCTCTTTCTTGTCGCTACGTCGTGTGGATGTGTGCTTGTCTATAGAAAGTTTGTTTGCGGTTTTCTTCAACTATGGGAAAGTCTAATCGCAGTAGTTCTAAGAAACGAAAGCATGGTGATAAATGCAACAGTAATTATCGGCGGCGGATCCACATGCCTTGTGTGCAGACTGTTTAGGCACATGTGAATGGTCGCGTTGTGCTTTTTGTAAGGATCTCAACGATGATGATTTCTCGGCATATCTGAGGGTCCGTCGGCATCGAAACGTCCCAAGGCCGAACGTCGTAGAACTACGGCAGTCAATCATTCGAGGTCCCCGTCTCCTACTGAAGATTTCTTAGGGGAGGCGTCTGATTCTTACCTCAGTGAGAACTTACGACAACTGTTCCGACCGCGTGGCCTTAACTCCATCACGTTGGAAGACTCGTCTCCATCTAGGGTTGTTGTGTTGTCTACGTCCTCTCCACAACCTCATCTGTCTACGGTGGTTGTTACTTCGTCTGATTCGCATTTGGTGTCTCAGTCGAATGTGTCACTTGCTTCTAGACCACCACTTTATTCTAGTGCACCATTTGCCTCACAAGCATTGTTTCCTTTCAGACAGATATCGGTGAGAGCGCCGCTTGTTGCCAGTCACGTGATGTGTTTCAGAGCGCCGCTTGTGTCCAATTCGGCGCTTACTACTAGTACTCCCAGTTCGGTGCTTTCTCCCGGTGTTCCCGGATCGGCGCTCTCTACTGGGGGTCACGGATCGGCACTAACTACCGATGGTCCCGGATCGGCGCTTACTACTGGTGGTCTCGGTTCGGCGCTTACTACCGGTGTGCTCGGATCGGAGCTTACAACTGGTATTTCCGGATCGGCGCTTACTACTGGTGTTCCCAGTTTGGCGCTTATTACCGGTGCTCCCGGATCGGCGCTTCCTCCCGGTGTTCCCGGATCGGTGCTTACTACTGGTGTTCCCAGTTCGGCTCTTTTTACTGGCGTTTCCGGATCGGCGTTTCCTCCCAGTGTTCCTGGATCGGTGCTTACTACTGGTGTTCCCAGTTTGGCGCTTCTTAATGGTGTTCCCGGATCGGCGCTTCCTCCCGGTGTTCCCGGATCGGCACTTCCTCCCGATGTTCCCGGATCGGCGCTTACTACTGGTGTTCCCAGTTCGGCGCTTATTACCGGTGCTCCCAGATCGGCGCTTACCTTCGGTTTTCCCAGATCGGCGCTTCATCATGGTGCTTTTAGTTCAGCACTCACTCACAGTCTTCCTGGTTCAGCGCTTACCTACAGTATTACCGGTTCAACGCTTACTCATGGGGTTCCTGGTTCGACGCTGACTTATGGGGCGCCCGGTTCAGCGCTTACTACTGGTGTTCCCGGTTCGGTGCTTCCTCATAGTTCACTGGCTTCAGTATTGAGCTAGGCCAGTGATAACTGTCAAGCTGTCTCCTTCCTCACAAGAGTCCAGCATGCTGATGTATAAGTTCTGCAATGGGAGTCCTAGATGAACTTGTAGCTCTACAAGAACCTTTATGTATTCAACACTATTGGTTATTTACGGCACTTCATTGAGACCGATGACTATAGTCTACAAGTAACAGCGTTAAGCAAGTATGAACTTCAGCTGATCATCTGTTAAGATGACGATTACTTTATCTTCAGTGAAGAAGGAAAAAATCACAATAGCCAGGGAGACAGTCTACTTACATCGGTATTACACGGTGAAATCTTTCACGCGTTTTCCACTCAGTCTGCTGTACACGTGTTCCCTCGTGTAACTCCGGGAGATTACGGAC